AAAGTGGTGTATGTTGGTTTGGTGTCAGAAAAGCCAATTTGATCTTCCGACATCTCCTCCGGATCGAAGTAGTCCCCGGTGGGTCGAAGGCCAGTAATAGCGGCCACATCGAAGAGTGTGGGGGTTAGCATCCCACAGGGAAGATGGAAAGTAAAGTGGGAGTAGTCCCAGAACAGCAGAGAAGCTATCAGCATCTCCGGAGAATAGTTCAAACTTGTCTTCGACAGCATCACCAGGTCGAAAATCCCCATATCCTTCCAGATCGAAGTTTGGTGCTTCTCCATCTTTTCTAGCCAAGCAACGTAATCAGGAGTAAGGCTAGGGCCAGACCTGAAGGCCCTAACACCTCTGTTGAAGAAGCGGAGGTCGATTTTTTCATGTGCAGGGTCTTCATTGTCTTCTGCGTCTTTCTTGGCGCATGCAACCGGTTTGAGTTTCTCAACTACCGGGAAATAGCTCTTGATCTTCATAGCCTCAGAGATACTTGGATACATGGGGCCAGACATAGCAAAGATCTGGTTGGAGTATCCAACCGGGATCATAAGGTGGCGTGAGTAGGCATCGCGAACGGTGATGTCCAAGGGTTCAGGAACCCTTCGTTTGCCTGTAGAAGTTACTACTGGAGCAGTGACGAAAACCTTAGGTTTAGCGTTTTCAGATGGTACAGTAGCGCCAGGAGCATTGGAAGCAGATGCCATTGTTAGTGTTGAGGTTGAAGATGAAGTGAAGGAGGAAATGTTTTTGCAAAGATGACAAGTTGTATGAAGACAGAGAAGTTTGAAAGCTAGATGGCGTAAAAAGTCCCACAATGGGGTACTTACTGCTATTTATAGTAGTGGGGGAAAATCCCCAAAACCGAGGACATTAAATGCCATTTAATTATTGCAGGAGCTAGTGGGACGCGTGGCAGCCCCCTGTTGTTTTAGCCGTTCTGCAGAAATAGAGGGACGCAGCGTGCATCCTCGTTTTTGGGAATTGTCATAATGACAAATTCTGAAATGACGTTTGGTACTGCACGCCGTACTGAAAGTGACGTCCTAGGTACGGATAAATGATGGTTTTCTTGGGATTGCCAATAGTTGGTAGAAAACAACAAAAAGTGCACAAGTTAATTTGTGACTAAGCGTGAAAAGACAGGTGTCGAATGGCGTTTCAAAGAATGCCTTTTTCTTTCAGAGTCGAAATAAGGCATTCTTGGGGGGCAATTTGTTGGCTCCTAAATTCGACACCTTTGTTTTGTTGATGTCAGCCATTAAAGCTGAAGGATGTTTTCGACTGGCTAAGTCTGTCGAAGTACCCGTCGAAAGATGGCAAAGTACTTAGAAGATTTCTTCCAAGGGAGAAGTTGGTTGCCTTCGACGTCGAAGGAGTTTCTCGTCGAAGATGTCTCTCGACGAAAGTGTTCGATGGTTCAGAGTGGAGCAGTTTGAAATTCAAGCTTTTGGAGGGAAAACGGTTTCCAGCAGTTACCACGTGTAGCGTGCAAAGATCTGGAGCGTCGAACGTTGAGAACGTGCCAAGTGGAATCATCTCGAAGCAGTGTAACTGCCCGACGGTTACTTGGGATGTTTTAGTATAAATAGTAGTAGTCATGTAAGTTCTCGCGTGTGTTCACAATTCTATACAAAGTCACTCATATAGATTCGAGTACCCAGCGTGTGAGAAAGAATTGTTGAGAAATGTATGTGTGAAACACCAATTTTATTAATCAAAGTCATTTACTTTTCCAGAAATTTACTTGCTTTCCTCTTTACATTCCTGTCGAAGCCTTTTACTTTAAGCCTTGTTTATTTTACCAAGTCCTTTCTTCATGCAATTTACTTGAAACCTCTTTATTTCATTTAAAGCCTCTTTATTTAAAGCCTTATCCAATTTAATCAAAACTTCAAAATCAACCTATGTCCTAGGATCAATCTGATCGATCCTGCGAGTAACCAAATAAGTAACCATTTGGAGGATCAGCGGTTGTTTACCAAATCCCAAGGTAAACAATGTGGCACAATCATATGGTTTTATTGTGAAAAATCATGAACCTAAGTTCTAAGAAGGAACTATATGTGACACTCTCTTCTTGTGAAGTTGAGTACATTGCAACGTCTATGTGTGCGTCTCAAGCTATATGGTTGATGAATGTGATGAAGGAAATGTGCAACAAAGAGTATGAAGCTAAGCCATTAATGATAGACAACGTTTCAGCTATAAACCTTGCACAAAATTCCATTGCACATGTGAGCATATGGAGATGAGATTTCAATACTTGAGAGAGCTTGTGAGTGAAGGAAAATTGAAGTTGGATTGCAAAAATGAAGATCAAATGGCCAATTTTATAACCAAAGAAGAGACAATTGAAGTCTTCAAGAGGTTCAAGAAACACATGTGTGTGGAAGATTTGGAGGACTTGAATTAAGGTGGTGTGGTGTGAATAAAACGTAATTCAAGTTGGTGTAACCGGTTACAATAGGGATGTAACTGGTTACCACCCCTTTCAACAGCAAAAATATCAAAATGAAGCAACATGTAACCAGTTACATGTTTCGTGTAACCAGTTACCACTCTCTGGTTTTTGATATCTTTGAAGGCAATAACATCTTGTAACTGGTTACATGTTTGATGTAACTGGTTACATGGTTGAAAATTTTATTTTTTTTCTTTTAGTTAGTTAGCTGTGCATTTGTGTATTGTTGTATATATAACACATATTGGGTTGTTAAAGATAAATCACAATTTTCACCCTAATTTTCTCTAATTCTCTCGCTCTCTCCATTATACTCTTGTTCATCATTTTGCCTTATGATTGGGGTTTTGACCTAATATAATTTGGTTTAACTCGACTCGATTCAATAAGAATTGATTTAATTCGAAATTCGACTTGAGTTGTATTTTTTTTTAATTTGAATTTAATTCGATTAAAATTCACAAACAATTCAGTTCAACTCCATAACACGAACCTGATTCAACTACCTAGTTTTAAAATGGATCAAATTTTTTTAAAAAAAGAAGTAAAATTAAAAAAAAAAAACTAATTTTTTTTACTGAGACCCATATACTTTTACATTAAGTCTGATGAACTTTTTTTTTTAGAAAAAAAAATATCTAAAAACTTTTAGATGTATTTCAGTTTTGTTACGGACTTTATATATAAAAAAAGAAGAGAAAGTAAGGAAATGTATTTTTCAGGTAATGATTTAAATAATAAAATTCAGAAGATTTTGTCAAATGTTGAATTTTTAAGTGTTAAACTTATCTAAAATGTTAGGATCATCAATTTCGGAATCATCGTGGAGGATATTTTTATATTGGAATTTTTCTTTTATAAATAACACATTTTATGAAAGATATTTACATATTTATTTAATATTTAAAATTGGAAGTGTTGATTATTTTATTTATAAAGTGTTAAATCTCAATTCTTTTTATCAATATAAAACTTTTTCACATTTATTTTTCAAACACGGTCAACTCAAACTTATTTTTCACAACATAAAAAACTATATTTATCTTTTATATATAACACTATATAAACACAACTCTATATAACAATATATAAAGAAAAAACATTCTCTTTTAATTTAGCATATTTTACTCTGTATTTACCCTTACTTTTTAGTTATTGACATGTTTTCTTAGTTACATAATAACCTCCCTTGACTAGTTTCTTAAACATATTTTATAATTATGTGTCAACTTAATTTTTTATTTATTCACTAACTTAATTTTATAGGTTCATCTTCATGTTCAACCACACCAAAATTTTACAACATTTTGTCAAGAATTCATCATCTAAACTTACACATAATTCTTATTCTTATTTAGAATTAACCGAAACTATATATAACTTTTATTCGACTTATTTATTTATCGAACTTATTTTTAAACTCATTTGATATTTTTAAACAAACGAGTGTCTACCATTGTATATAACTTAAAGATAGAAATAGAAAAACCGTGTCATATAAATATAATGTCTTTCACTTACTCAACGTGGTTAATCACTTAATCTTCATGCTTACGTTGGGAGTGATGATATCCTAGCAATAATACAAGATAGTTGAATCTTTTTGTATTTCATTTTTTAAAAAATGCTACTTTCACAAGCTTTTACACGTTTTCTATATCTTATAACACTATATTTACAATATTTTAATTAAACCAATAATTTGAATTATTGAAGAGCAAAATTTTAATTTGTGAGAAAAATATCTAGTGTTTGGTTTAATCCCATGTGAGCCGGTTGTCAGCTGTGCCAGCTTCAGCGTGTCGCAGATTCTCAATCCTTGTCTCCCGGTTAATAGTTAGGTCTATGATTTTTTTTGGAGTTAAATAATTAGGTCTATGATTTTTTTCTGGGCTAAATATTTAGGTCTATGATTGAAAAAAGTGAAATCTTCATCAATTAAAATAAGGAAATTATCCTAATTTACTCTTCAAACACAAACATAAAACTAAAATCTGGTCTGCATTAATTTTTCTTCTTTTACTTTCTTGATGTAGTTGATAGTTCTAGAGAAGAAATGAACTTGATCCTCGTGTGCTTTTTATATACTTTATAATTACTACTCATCTTTAAATATTAAAATATTAAAATAAACAAATTTTCAAAGTTAAAATACAGCATTGTTTGATTGCATCCGATGTCTGTTGAGGACCCACGTCGGCACAGACAAAACACGATGACAACTACTAGTCCCTAAAATATTAAAATAGAGATATCTCTATTTTAATATTTGTTGTTTTCAGCGAACCCATTTACATGGCCAATATATACCCACGTGTCATGTTATCATTTGTTATTACCTAGATTTCCTCTCTATGACCAGTCACTTGACTATAGATATTAGAAAAGCAGCACCCAAAGAAAATCATATTACTCACCTAACTTCATACATTATTCATTCAACCCTTTCTTTTCTCCACTCTTCAAATAAGCACTTGTTATCATAAGCGCGTTTATAACTTAAGTTATTACAAAACAAAACAAAAATTATTTTGGTGTGAGGAGTATGAGTATTGAAAGAGTAGGAGGAGGAGGGCTTAAGAGTTTTCGAAGCGGATGGAGTGTGCCACCTAAGCTATGTGATTCTTGCAAGCTTTGTTCCGCCGCGCTTTTTTGCCATTCTGATTCCGCGTTTCTATGCATCGATTGTGATTCCAGGATTCATTCTGGTAACAAACTCTCCACGCGCCATGAGCGCGTCTGGATGTGCGAAGTTTGCGAACAAGCACCAGCCTCCGTCACGTGTAAAGCTGACGCCGCAGCTCTCTGCGTCACGTGCGACTCTGACATCCACTCTGCAAATCCACTCGCCCGCCGCCACGAGCGTGTCCCCGTCGAACCATTCTTCGACTCCGCCGAATCCGTCGTGAAATCCTCCGCCGCCGCCGCTGTCGCTTCATTCAATTTCGCTGTTCCTTCCGACGACGGATTCAGCCACGACGAAGTTGAAGCATCTGCCTGGCTGATTCCGAATCTGAATCCGAATTTCGGATCCAAACTTTCCGAAACTCCAGATATCAAAACCAGAGAGATTTTCTTCTCCGATATGGATCCGTTTTTCGATTTCGATTACTCGAACAACTTCCAGAACAATAATTGCAACGCGATAAACGACAGCGTAGTTCCGGTTCAAACCAAAGCTACTCCGGCGGCAACGATGATGAATCATCATAACTCAGAAGCTTGCTTCGATATCGATTTTTGCAGATCGAAGCTATCCTCACTTAACTATCCATCACATTCTATTAGCCAAAGCGTAAGTACAAATTAATCACTTAATTAATAAGTTAATTAAGAAATTAAATTAATTACTAATGACTATTTCATTTGATATAAGCAGGTTTCTTCTTCTTCGCTTGACGTCGGAGTGGTGCCGGATGGAAACGTGGTATCGGAGTTTTCATACACTTTTGGTTCTGAATCAATGGTATCAGGTGGTGTGAATAGCAATAGCAACAACCAAGGGGTGCAAGGAGCAACTCAATTATGTGGAATAGATCGTGAAGCGAGGGTTCTGAGATACAGAGAGAAGAGGAAGAATCGTAAATTTGAAAAAACAATTCGTTACGCTTCGCGAAAAGCTTATGCAGAAACCCGGCCTAGAATCAAAGGCCGGTTCGCGAAACGAACCGAAATTGACTCGGATGTAGACCGGCTCTATAACCCGGCAGATCCTCTCACCATCCCTGGTTCACTTTTAATGGACTCCCCTTACGGTGTCGTTCCGACGTTTTAGTATACAATCAACTGAGTTGGATTAACGAAGAATATGAATCTTGCGATGTGTTAGAATAATACTAATGATCAGTGATGCTATGAACCGTTGATTATTATTTTGGTTAGATTTGGTGCAGTTGTACGGTGTAGTGGCGGGGCAGGATGTATGAAATTGAAAAGAAGGAAAGAGTTTAGGGGAGTTTTTGGGGGTATAGTATTAGTAATCTGGAGTAGAATTAGAAAGTGTACTGTAAAATGAATTTCACTGTTTAATGTGCTATTTTGAGTAAAAAAGAAGTGTCTTTTTCTAAAGGATCACGGATCTCTTTCCTCGTTTTTATTGGATGGGGTGCCACTCACTCTCCAACTGTATCTCTATCTGTTTTTTCTTTCTTCCACTCATTTGAGACGTGTACACTTTTAAAATTTATTATTTATATCAATGTTTAATATGAAAAATGTGTTAAGACAATTTTAGCCTCTTTCTTCTCTCCAGGTCATGAGATTTTTTAGGATGATGTAATGGTAGTTCAAGTATTATCACACTACTCAAATTAGAAAGAAAAAAAAATGATGTATAATTATGGAAACAAGATATTTGATTCAAGTGCAGAGTATTACATGAAAGGAAATACAATGAGATAAGGAAAATAATACTACTCGTAAAGTATTGCACGATTGAGGAGAGAGGGAATTATATTACATATAATTTAAATTATATTTTTTGTGCTATCCACTATTAATATTCTCTCACTCATTAATAAATTGGGTTCACATTGGATGCTTTCCTCTGATCCTATTGTTGCGTCTTGCTTCCTTCTTTGCCATGTCAGCATTCAAATTCTTATTATCATCACTTTTACCAATTTGACACTCTCTTTCAAAAGTAATATTGTCCTCGAAGATTGAAGTTCGGGTAACTTTGTAGAATGTCCTCTTTGTCTTCCCAAGTTACCTTCTGACTTGACATATCTTTCCATTTCACCAACACTTATTCCCCCATTTGTGTTCCTTTAAGAATACTTCGAGCACTTAACACCGCTTCTGGTTGAATCACATGTCCTTATTCCACTGTAGTTAATGGTAATGACAAGTACGGTACAACAGTGAGTCATTTGAACAATTTCAACTGGGATACATGGAATACAGGATGTATACGAGTTGTCTCTGGTAATTGAAGCTTATAAACTACAACATCGATTTTGTCAATGATACTGAATGGACAAAAATACCTTATTCCTAGCTTATTATTCTTTCTCAAAGCTACCGAAGATTGTCGATAAGGTTGCAACTTGACTAGCCCTTGATCACCAATTTCCAAAGAAACATTGCTTCTTTTCTTATCAGCATTGGCCTTCATCACTTGTTGAGCTCTCCCCAAATTCTCTTTTAACTCCAATGGAATTCTATCTCTTTCAATTAAATGTTGTTGCAGCTCCATAGGACCAGCATTGCTAACATTGTAACAAATTATCGTAGGGGGTTCTCTGCCATATAAAGCTTTGAATGGAGACATTCCCAAGCTTGAATGCAACATAGTATTATACCATAGTTCTGCCCACGTGAGAGCTTTGGACAAAGCCTTTGGATTCTTGAAAAAAAAAACACCTCAAATACATTTGATTGACCATCCATTTGAGGGTGATAAGCTGAACTCATTGCTAATACTGTGCCCTATAATTGGAATATATGCTGCCATAATTTACTAGTGAATACCTTATCTTTGTTAGATACTATTGACTTAGGCATTGCATGTAACTTAACCACATTATGCATAAATTCCTCAGCAACAGTCCTACTAGAGTAATCAGATTTCAAAGGCATGATATTAGCATTTTTAGTTAGTATGTCCACTACTACCATGATAATAGTAAAACCAGAAGAAGGATGTAAGCCCGTAATAAAATCCATTGATATATCCTCCCATACCAGTTCAGGAATCGGCACAATGGTTACAATAGGCATGCATAAGGGGTATTAACAGACTTAGCTTGTTGACAAATGATACAAGCTTAAATGAATATCTTCACACATTGTCTCATATTAGGCCAATGAAACTGAGATGCAACCCTTGCAAGTGTTCTGGTCACTCCCGTGTGTCCCCTTATAGGTGTGTCATGATATTCTTTGAGAATATTTTGAATCAAACCACTCTCAACCGGAACTACCAATCTTTGTTTCCAATATAAGAAACCATTTTCACAGAATAATTACCACTAATCATATTATTAGTAAGGCATTATTGTATAATTAATTAAAAATGTGCATCCTCCGCAATTTCTTTCTTTAATTCCGTTAAAAACTCATACTCTGGTGATGATAAGGAGAAAAACATCATTTGTGATAACACATCCGCCCCTTGATTATCCTTTCCTGGCTTGTATTGGATTTGGAAATCAAATCCAATGAATTTATAGATCCACACTTGTTGCTCTGGGGTCTGGAGAGATTGATCTAACAGACTTTTCAAGCTCTTTTGGTATGTTCTCAAAATGAATTTATGACCAAGTAGATAGTGTCGAAACTTAGCTAGTGCTGTTGTGATAGCATAAAACTCTCGAGTATAAGCAGATTGTAGCTGCATTCTTGGGGACATCTTCTTTGAAAAGAAATCTATGGGATGATCTCCTTGACTTAATACTGCTCCCACCCCAGTACCAGTCGCATCTATATCAAGTATAAACACTTGTGAAAAATCTGGAAACACTAAAACAAATGTTGAAGTAATTCCAATTTTTAATTGCTTAAAAGATCTTTGAGTATTTTCATCCCATATAAAAGTATCTTTCTTCAAAAGATTAGTGAGAGGGCCTGCTATGGTTACATATGACTTAATAAATCTTCTATAATATCCGGTGAGCCCAAGAGATCCTCGTAACTGTTTCAAATTTGTTGGCATACGCCAATCCAATATAGCTTGAACCTTTGTTCTATACATTGATACACCAGCACCAGAAACTATGTGACAAAGATACTCCACTTCAGATTAACCAAATGAACATTTGGATAGTTTTGCATACAACACTTTTTGACTTAGTATTTGAAACATAATCTCTACATGTTTCAAATGAGCATGCCATGAAGGGTTGTGTACTAGTATGTCGTCAAATAAAACTATCACACACTTCCTTAACAATGGTTGGAATAACTAATTCATAAGTCTTTGGAATGTAGCTGGGGCGTTGGTAAACCCGAAAGGTATCACCAACCACTCATAATGGCCTTGGTGAGTTCTAAAATCCATTTTCTACTTATCCTCTTGCTTGAGAAGTATCTGATGATAACCAGAACGAAGATCAAGCTTAGAAAGAAAATTTGCTCCATGTAACTCATCAAGTAATTCATCCACAGTAGGCATGGGAAAACTATCCTTGACAGTTATAGCATTCAGAGCCCTATAATCTGTACAAAACCTCTAAGTACCATCCTTCTTCTTCACTAGAATAATGGGATATGAAAATGGGCTAAGACTTGGTTGAATTATGCCTTCTTCCAACATGTCCCACACCATCTTTTCAATTTGTTGTTTTTGGCTATGTGGATATCTATAGGGTCTCACCTTCACTGGTTGTGCTCCCTCTTTCAATAATATCTCATGACTCAATTCTCTCTTAGGAGGTATCCCTTTAGGTATTTGAAATATTTCTCTGTATGTGTGATCGGAAAAATAACAAGGGTACTATTTTGCCTCTTGTAATAACAAGGAAAATTCCCTGAATGTCGATCTCAAGGAACGCACATAATTACTGAGATTAATGCGAGGTTCAATTAAAAAAAACTCAATGTGGGGTTTTGGTTTGGTAATTGTACTTAACAATAATTAAAAATATGCGAAGGTAAATTATGACTTTTTTACTAGTGTGAATACTATGCTAGGGGTGATTGTGTGTTTTCCCTGTAATGACCTTCACTATTGATCTCTTCTACAAGATCATTACCTTCAACTACCAGTCCTTTAGATTATTTTCCCCTAAGTCCTTAGTGAGAAAACCTTTAACCATCCATCCTAAATCCTAAGTCCTTAGAAATATCTGACGGAGTCAAGCCCTTATCTTATCAAGGGTTAAAATTGGTGACTATAGGATATCCCTAGCCCTAAGTGATATCTACTATAGCCTAATCATACAAAAACCTTAACAACCACGGTGCAACTAGTTGTTAACCGTAACTCAATCCAAATTGGTCAGATCAAGAAAGCATTAGAAACCTTGAACGATTAAATTGAAAGGAAACTAATGTAATAAAAATCAATAATTCATAGTCAATACATTTGCAAATCAGGGACACCCCTAGCATTGGAGGGGGTGGGGGGTTCATCCTCACATAATATTCAAGGAAATTTCAATAAAGATAAAGATAGAAATTATACAAATTGATGGTGAACTCTGATCTTCAATTGCTTCTTTTGCTCATGAAAGGTCTTCGTTCTCCCACAACTTGCATAGGCTTTAATCCTCTATCGTGAAATTATTCTCCCGTCAAAAGTCCTCCTTTTTTTCTTCTACAAAATAGGTTTAAGTAGTCTCATTTTTCCTAGGTGATGCCAAAAGTCCATAGTAGCCTCTAGGGTTCAAAAACACTAAAAATTCCCAAACTTAAGAATTTTTAGCGCCTAAGCTGACACAGGCCGTGTCACCGGATATGGGCACCCGTGTCAGCATCTGAGATCTGCGCTAGTCACACTTTTTGGTTCGAGCTAAATTGACACGGGTTGTGTCGTGTGACACGGACGAAGTCTCAAACATTCTAACAAAATACAAAGATTTCTTTCTATGTTTTAAAGATTTTTGCAGGTATCACTTAAACTCTGGATGTTTTAATTCAAATGAACATTTATCTTCAAAAGACTTGCTGAAGAAATCTCAGAAGAAAATTTCAAAGCTCTGATGAAAATTCTCAAGAAGTTTTTCTTATAGAAATATTTATTTCAGGGGGAAATTCTTATCTCTTATTCAAATTTATTTCTATATCTGAATATTTTTGTCATCATCAAAAAGGGGGATATTGTTAGAACAAGAT